AATAAACTCAGACAAGTTCAGAAACTGTCACTAAAATATCTGTGATTGTGAACAAGAAAAGAATAAACGCTCCAATTAAATTGTTAAAATAAAGTAGAAGTACATCGGTTTGACTGTACAAGGGAAATACCTTCACACTGCCTGTGCTAAATCATTTGTCGTCGGTACGCAGAGGGGTGATCTGCTCTCGGGCTGCAGGTGGGAGAGGCTGCTGTAGAGGACTGACTGGGCCGCCTGTCAGTGCTGTGAGGCGGGGGAGGGGCCGGCGGCATCACACGCAGCTCGTTGAGAAGAGTAGGGACGGTACAGTATGGACAAATGACAGTCTAAAAAATATCTCCAATAACACAAAAAAAGTCGCTAGATTTGTCGCTAAGGGGGTCTGAGGGGTATCTAGTGACAAAGTCGCTAAGTTGGCAACATTGGCGGCAAGCAATCAGAATGAAGTAGTCCACCGCTTGAGAGGTGTTCAGAGAACACAGACCTGTGAACTTTGGTTCCGACCACAGTTGTTCCCAAGAGTTTGATTATTGCGTTCGCCGGTGGATTTTTAATTATTGAAAATCACGACGACGCGGGGCCCCCTAATCACGCGGGGCCCCCCCGCGGTGCGTGCCCTGCGGGCCCGTCCGCTACGCCACTGGTAGTTACATTTTTTTGAGAGGTGCGCATCAGTGTTGCCGACTGCCACGGCGAGGGCTATGCGACCACACGAAGGCTGTGCCGGAGCATATGCATGTGCTTGACACAGAAGTATAAATAAGCCTTAAGAGAGGACCAGGCCTGGACATTTTATGTTTGATTGCTTTCAGTTTGGTGGTATAGTTTCCGTGAGGAGATGTTTGTTTTGTTTATTTTTGTAATTAAATTATTTAAACGTTTGTTTGTAATCTTCATATTAAAAATCATTCAGCACATTAGTTAAACATGCATAGTTAACTTTTTGGGGGGGAAATGAACAAAAGTCAGAAAAAGTTTTATGTTCATTCATTAATTTTCTTTTTGGCTTAGTCCCTTTATTAATCAGAGGTCGTCACAGCAGAATGAACCACCAAGTTATACAGCATATCTTATTACACAGAGTATGCCCTTACAGCCACAACCCAACACTGGGAAACTTCCATACATCCTTGCATTCACACACATACACAACAGCCAATTTAGCTTACTCAATTCACCTATAGTGCATGTCTTTGGACTGTGGGGGAAACTGGAGCACCCGGAGGAAACCCACACAAATACATGAAGAACATGCAAACTCCACACAGAAACGGCAACTGACACACCTGGGCTTGAACTAGTGACCTTGTTGTGAGGCGACAGCGCAACCCACTGCACCACCGTGTCACCAAGTTAATATTATATATAATATGATATATATATATATATTTTTTTTTTTTTGTAAATTTTGTAACTAATCATGTTCTCTGATGTGTTTAGCTGTAAAGTGTTATCTTCTGTTATTCCCTAAACATCACAGGTCAAATTTTCCAAAATGGAATGACTGCTTATGAATTCTGAAAATGATATATAGCAGTGGTTCTCAAACTTTTTTTCATCAAGTACCACCTCAGAAAATAATTGTCTCTCCAAGTACCACCAAAATGAGCAGTATTGAAATACAGTAGCGTAGAGGGCCCAGTAAAGCAGCTACAACTCTGCAAAGTTCAAAAACGTGGCAGATTACCTCAGAAATATAAGCTATATGTCATATATGGCATATTATATACATCATTTTTGATAAATTTTGAAATGTGTATAGCATGTACATGACATATTTCATTCCTACGCGTACCACTAGAAGGAACCCACTAGTGGTACATGTACCAGTTTGAGAACCACTGATAAATAGGATTGCTAACTAAGATTTTATTTCAGCCATTTTTACGTTATCATTTTTAGTTTGATTTAGTTTACGTTTTAATTTTTTGTGATTTTTACATTTTATTTCAGTTAACATATAGACCAATAGTGCTAGTCCTAGTTTTTGCTCACTGAAATAACCTTGATTCAAAAGAAAGGATAATTGGAATAAGCAGGATTCCTTCTGGATTCGTATGTCAAACAAAAACTCCCACACTCAAGGACTCCCGTTGCACACTCCGTCCTTGAACTCCCGATAGTTCGTGTCTCCATTAGCAGCAGAAAAGAGTCGTTCAAGCCCTTAAATGGCTCGCATTCACTCCAGCGCGCCGTAACAAACACAAATCCCCACAAGAACTCCAGCCACCAGCCCTGGATTTCAGCCTCACAAATAAATGACAATTACACAGCGTGGCGTGTTTTGCTTGGGCTGGTTCCTGTCTAATGGATCCCGCTGTATAAATAATGACTGTGTTTTGGACGACGCCTCCAGGGTCTTGAGGAATAGAGCTAGGATGAATAAACACCGAAAGCTATGAGAGACTTTACCTAAGGGACCGAGGTTGGCAAGGCGGGCTGTTGTCAATCACCCACATAAAGGTAAAAATACATATGCATACAAGCAAACCTGTCACACATCGGCAGACACACAATGACTACACATACTCAAACACACACACACACACACTCCATTGGTGCCCTTTAAGGTCCAGTGTGACGCCAGTTTCTTGGAGCGTAGAACATTCCACAGATGCCCATGGCCAGAGATGTGAGCTGGAGTGATGTCATTGCTTTCTTAAGGGCGTGGCACAGTTGAGCTGGCATGGTGATTTAGGAGGTGGTGTTTGAATAGTGTGGCACTACATAAATGCTTTTAATCAGAACTGTGTATACAAGCGAGCACAAACATGGAGCGGGAAGTAAGCGCTAGTCATGAAAACATGCTGGAACTGGTTTGAAACCAGCTAAAAATAAATCCAGCACGCATATGGGCCAATCGTGAAATGATTTGCAAAAGGAACATAATAATATACAGTCAAGCCAAAAATTATTTAGACGCCTTCAACATTTGTCACAAAGGGCTCTATTTTAACAATCTAGTCACAAAGTCTAAATCGCATGGCACAAAAGCATTAAGGGAGTGTCCGAATACACTTTTGCTATTTTAAGGATGCGGCGCCTGGTCTAACAGGGTTGTGCTAATTCTCTTAATGAGTTCTGGGTTTATTTTGAGAATAAACCAACCAGAGTCTCATCTCCCATTCCCTTTAAGAGTAAGTTGTGTTGCGCCTCATTAGCTCATTAGCTATTTGTAATTGGAAACACTGAATAATTCACTAGTGAGAAAAGACCATCTGCAGCACAAGGATAAAGAATGAGCCTCCTCCAATCACTTTCATGGATAAGGAAACGGTGTTGTATGCACAGACATCCATTAGCCTTCATAATTAATTTCTTTTGTTAAGGGCAAAGATGTGTTTCAAAAAATATATTTCTAAATTCAGATCTAATTTCCAGCAAACGAATAAATTAACACTAATAATGAAGTATGGTCAAAAAACTGAGTACATACATACATACTGTATAATACATACATACATATAATAAATAATACTGCTAATAATAATAACATTATACAAAAGCAAATTGTCATGAATAAACTGAAAAAAAAAACCTCGAGATCAAGAAGGCATGCAGGCAGTGGTTTTTATATTTATAAAATTTTAACTATAATGCTCTTGCAGTGATCTTTTTTTATCTATTGTGTGAACACATTTGTATTTAGTTTTTATTTACATTGTTTTCGGTTTAGTAATTCTAGTTTAGCAGAGTTAACAGAACACACAGAGTCAAACACAGCATTTTTTTTTTTTTTTTTTTGCACAGCTTGCATTACCCATTGTGCAAAGCCTTTTAACGATACAAATAAAATAGTTGTTTGAACAAACACTGAATCCAAAACCATGGAAGAATTTAGACATCTACTTCATATAAATGATCATAGTGTATAGCTAAACATGCAGAGTTCACTTGTTTTTGGAAAGTGTTTTAGATTGTTTTAGATTAATATAGTTTTAGTTTTCAACAATACGTTTTTAAAAATCTGCTTAATTGTAAAATTTAGTTCCACAATGACAAAGCTATATTACTCTAGAAATGACCTAGGAGACGGCTTAAAATCTCAAACTTTATTTGAAGATATACTCAGACTTTTACCTTCCAAAGGGTAAACTTTTAACCATAATATAAGCTGTTGCAGTGAGTCAAAAAAATATATAGAAGTGCAGGTTTGCATTAGGCAAGGAAACTACAGGCTGTCATTGAGGCTATGTGTGGCCCAATCATGCATCATTAGCTGTGTAAATACTGTATTGCCATACCAACAGCTGTCTGCATTATATTTGGTTCATTATAGTCTAATACATTATGGACCTTTCTATTAAAGTTGTATGATATTGTCAAGATGAATTTGATCTGACACAGTCTGGCATGATTTCTGCAGGGCATTACGATTATTATGGATAACTTAACATGAATAACAGATAGTGGGTTCTGGTCAAAAAAAAAAAAAAAAAAAGTTGAGAATCAGTGTTTTAAAAACTGTACAGTATTAGGTGTGTGTTCTCAGTTGTAGAATACAGGTTTAAATCCAGCCTGCATTAATTCCTGTTTCCATTCCATCTCTCTTCCACCCCTATAACTTCATACTGTATCTGCTTTACTATCTCTAAAGCCAAAGCTCGGAAAGCTATCCAAAATAAATACATAGAAAAAAATAAATCAGAGAATGAATGAGACACGAAACTAACTGAAATCTTGTGATGCATAAAAAATACTTTTTCCAGATTTAAATTTATTTGCATGCTTAATTGTTTTGTTATGGACAATTTATGTGGAAATTCCCCAGAATTCCCCTGACGGATGACCTTCTTAGGCATGGCACAAAAGAAGTAAAGGAATACAATCTCAAGTGCAAAAGGAATCATTTATACTGCGTGACCAAAAATATTTAATTTCCTTTTTTATTTTATTTTTTCATGAGTATCAATGTAAAAGTTAACAAACTGCCATCTGATTTATATGCTATTAAAACAGCTATTGTTTACTCATAAAAAAAATAACCTAAAACTACTTACCTTTCTTGTGCGAAGCTTGACAATGCTACCATCAGCTTTGGGGACCATCTCACAGTCCTTGGCTGCAGTGTTTTGAGTCGCCTGATGATCCTCATAGATTCCTTCAGGTTGAGGTTCTCTGAGATCCTCTGAGGCTGTCAGATTTTCACAGTTCCTTGTGTTTAATCCTCTGCATGTTGGTTCCTCTGGCCCATCACCTGATATCTGAGCAGAAGAATCATCTCCAGATTCAGGACACGACCCCTCATGGATGGTTTGGAGTTTGGACGAGCAGTCATGCCATGTATCCATGATGTCTATTACTCCACATTCTTTCAGTTGAGAACTTTCACAAGCATGTGGGTTAATGCATCCAACGTTTAACGTATCACCATCAGCACACTTAAAAATACCATCTCCATTTTCTTCTGGAGTCATATTGCAATCTTTGCATGCTAGATTTGCTTTATTAGCATCTTCTGTGTGGGGAATGTGATGATCTTCTTGAGAAGTTGATGATGATGACATAGGTTTGCTTGAGCGTTCAGTTTTAATACATTTTAAAATTGCCTGTTCAGATGTTTCACAACAATGTCCTTCCTCATTATCACACGGGTCAGCAGATGAATCAGAAGTGGGAGGTTTATTAGTTATTTCTGTGATGCTGCTTGTCACATTCATGTGTTCATATACTAACTTCTCACTGCCCACATTGACCTTCACCATAGATTCTGTGTTTTCCACAGATGTTTCTTCTTTGGGATGAGTTAGCTCAGAGCAGTCTTCTTTGACTGTGTTGTTTAAGGAGATGCCATCCTTCAAAACATTTCCTAAACCATTTGTTTGATCCAACGCTTCAGCAGAAGGCACAAGATGTGACAAGCTAATGGCTGAAGACACTTTATCCTTGTTTAGCTTCTTATTATCTGCATCTCCATTGTGAGTTTGCAAATTTCCCAAAGCAGAATGCTGTAATTCATCTTGATCTGCCACGTTGTTTGAAAGTAGTCTGTTATCTTGCTCACTCTCAAGCTGTGCCTTTTCATTGACAGCATCTCTAGATGTCAACAATTGGCTCTTTACATCTTCACAGTTAGGTTGAGTCTCATTCTTAAACTTTTGCAATATCCTCTCCATCTTTTTTGTACCATTTCCAATATCATCCTGAGGGTAAAGATGATGATGGCCACATTCTGGCATGGAGGCGCATCTACCTCGCCGGTGCCTTGCATGGCAGCAAACCAAGTCTAAGTCATCATAGCTGTACTGTAATCCTGTTCGTGGTGAAGTCACGTGATCCTCCCAGCTTCTATTACGAATGGCAACAGGCATGGCCAGATCCTTCTGTTAGCCCATAGAGCCTTATTATTGCAGCCCACAGAAAAGCACAAAAACAGATACAGGTCTTTCTGGAGAGAGAAAGAGAGGAGGGGGGATACACTTATTACTTCATTGTTAAAGGGTTGTTAGAATTAATGTGATCTTCATATGTGACAGAAATGAAAACGTTCTGTTAAATGAATGCTATTGACATTGAAACTCAAGTGCTCTTAAACTTGTTCAGTCTGAAGAGTCTGTTCTGTGTTAAACTGGAACTGCATTGACAACATAATGATGCCATCAGCCTTCTGAACGTTGTAAATACTACATTTATTAGTAAAGAACCAAGTGTACAGTAACCAATAACTAAATTTCCATTTGCCATGCGATGGCTCAGTGGTTAGCACTGATGCCTCACAGCAAGAAGGTCCTTGGTTTAAGCCCCAAGTGGGTCAGATAGGATTTCCTGGTATAGTCTGCAAGTTCTCCCTGTGTTGGCGCGGGTTCCTCCACAGTCCAAAGACATCCTCTATAGGTGAATTGAATTAATAAAATTGGTCGTAGTGTATGTGTGTAAATGAGTATGGATGTTTCCCAGTGCTTGGTTGTAGCTGAAAGGGCATCTGCTGTGTAAAACATATGCTGAATGAGTTGGTGGTTCATTCTGCTGTGGGGACCCTTGTTAAATAAAGAGACTAAGTTGAAGCAAAATAAATGAATGATTAAATTTCCATAAAATATTGTATTATTATTCATATTATTTATTATTTAGATTTATTATTATTGGGAATTGCAATTCATTTTTATATTTTCTCATTTTTCTTAATTTTGTTTCACGTTTACTAATTTAATTTTGTTATTACTTATTTGCTCATTCATTCATTCATTCCTTTATTTTCTTTTTGGCTTTGTCCCTTTATTAATCTGGGGTCACCACAGTGGAATGAACCGCCAACTTATCCAGCATATGTTTTACACAGCGAATACTGTTACTTTTTGGTTGGCCATCTGTTTGTTTCTAATGAGCTTCCTTTTTTCGTTACTGCAGACAGAAGAAATGCCCGCATGTGTTTTTCCTTAACACAACAGTAATCTGGTAGTGATTGTGTTGCATTGGCTTTTCAGGGTTATTTATTGTGATCTCCTGATTGAAACAGAGAAATACTGGGAAATGTCTCTAGACAGATGGCATTTCATGCCATTCATCCTGATAATCTTAAAATGTAAGCAAAATCACCTGTTTTGTCATCTCTTAGATCGTATGCTCAAGAATCATTCAAATACTAGCTCTAAAATTACATTGGTTAATTAGTAACGGTTTCTGCTGTTCTGACGTCAGCTGCAGATGTGAATGAATGGTGGAAGAAAGTAGTTCCTGGTACAAAAAGGATTTTTAAAGTATACGTGTTTGATTTTCTTTTTACATACACGATTTTGCCACCGAACTGTTGTATAAATGCAATATCACATGAGTAGCAGTACAATATGGCTGTATATCGGCATACACACACACACACACACACACACACACACACACACACACACACACACACACACATATATATATATATATATATATATACATACAGTATATATCAGATAAGTTTTCATCCGATTACAAAAGCAGCTGCAGGACTGCATATTGCAGTAAGAAATAGGCAAATCACATTTCCCCTTACGCCAACTGTTGAGTCAGCCAAGCATTTCACCAGACCCTCCACCCACTCAAAAGTACAGTAAGACTTCTCTAGATTCCGCGCAAGTCATTCTTCAGTGATTATCCAGCAAGTCCCGACTTCTCTTTAAAATTAGACCAGAAGGAAAGTCTCAAGATGGAAAGAAGGCAGTAATAAAAGACTTTTGGGGAAAACCACACAGCATGGTGAAATGGCAGGAGCTCTTGTAGTCCCTGAAGTCTGATAGATCTTCTTGACGTCTATGTGAAGTCAGCGGTTTGTGGCAAGCATTTAGAGAAGGTCTTAACCAGGACATTCCTCTCACATCTGGCCAGAAGTTACTCCCTCTGTGGAACATCTGGTCGTGAGGTCCAGCTTGACAGAGCTCTCTTTCCTTTGGCAAGCGCTTTCGCGGATTATTCGTTTTTTGATAAAGAGTTATCTTGTCTCAAAGAGAAGATAAGTCGCTTAGCTGCTCACGTCACTGACATCCTGAACTTATTTTGTTCTTGTTTGATGATGTCTGAGAGTCTGAGAATGAGCCTGCAGTGCAGACCAAAAAAATGAAAAGTTTTAATTTGTATATAAACAATGAAAATGCACTGTAGGTCAGTGCAAATGCTATTTAAGGCTAACACAATACTAGTAAAACCATTGTTTTGTATTGCAATGGTGAATTTTGAGGCTTTATTAATTTCAAGGCTTAATTCTAAGGATTATTTATTTGCTTCTATGACATTTTTTCTGGGTTTAGAGTAAAAAAGTAAAATATGCATTTAAGTATATATTTGATATGCTTTATGTATTGGTGTATGCAAATTTAGAAGACAATGTATTTTTAACAAATCTGAAGTCTCCACTTTCTGGTATGTGTCATTGTTTTCTAACAATACGGAATTTTCTAAACTCATATCAGAATTTTTGGATCAAGTTGGTTCAAGTTCATGTACACAACAGTGCTATTTGACCTAAACAATACAAATCAAAGTGTTTTAGTACCTACCTAGAGCTTACATACCTGTACATGAAAACTGATTTTCTGATTATAGTGCGTTTCAGATTTACATAAGGAATCTTGTTAATAATAATAATAAAAAAAAACCTTAATTCCACTAATTTAAAATCTGGGTTTATTCAGTATTTATTTTCATCTTACCCTTAAAAAATCCTATTTTGCAACATGTCAACTGCCATCAGAATATCAATAGACTATTGGCTTTTTGGACAGTAGAATAAATTGACATACAGTACTTGCAGTTTACTAATATTTTTTTGAACATTGTAATTAACCTAGTCAACTAGGAGCGAAGCACACTGAAGTTTCTCAGATTTCTTTTATAAAGCAGTATCTATATTAGTGCATTTCTATTAAATTAGTGCTGTTTAATGATTAATCACAACTAATTACATAAGAAATAAAAGTTTACATTTACGTAAACACTTATGGATATATAATGCATACATCCATGTCTATGTCTATATATATTTAGAGAGAGAGAGTTTATTGTCATGATTGTCATTTGCTTATTCTGTTAGTTTAAAATTAAGGTAAGCAGAGTAATCTAGTATGTATTTGCAAAGTTTAAGTCAATAGACCGTTTTTTTTTTTTTTTTTTTTTTTGAGTGTCCATTGAAATGAAGTGTGAGCAAATACCAATCAAACAGCAGACAAATTATCTAATGACGGCTAATTGGCATGTAGTTAACATTGTGAATGAAACCAACAAATTTCATTGAATTAAATGTCACTTTTGGGTTTTTTACTAACTCTTTAAAGTAAGTAAAATAAGTTGCATTAAGTGTGGATATCTAAAATTTCTTATAGGCAGTAGTGTTTTTGGGGTCCATGTAAATGACGGCAGAAACTAAGCAAACAGTGAGCTAATACTCTAATGACTGCAAGTTGATATGTAGCCCAGAATGAGACCATCAATATAAAGTGCAAATCAGATTTCTGTTCTCGAAATGCATGTATACATTGCAAATAAATACTTTATCAGCAATTAGCATTGTTTTTAGTCCAATTATTTAAACATTCTTAAAATAAGAAACCTTCACTGTAAAATCTGTTAATTAGCAGGTTCTGTATTTCATGATTTAGAGTTTTTTTCTGTTTGTTTAGGTTGTGAATTGCATTATGTAATGTTGATCTCTGCTCTGTCGAGTTTTGATGATGAAAATTCAGTAACTAGTACTAAAGTTTTAGGGTTAGGGTTAGCATAAATACCATATACTGTAGAGAATTAAAAAAGGTACTGTCAGTTTATTACCTTTTTTTGTGTTGTTATTTAAAGCACCAACCCAGACAAATTAAAAAATGTCAATAAAGGTAACTTTTTCAAACTTTTTAACATCAAAAGTTGTTGGATAAAAGATCAAGGTAAAATGTAAACATTTTACAACCGACATTTTTAAAGTATTGCTTTCAAAAAATAAGAAGTCTCAAATAAGTGAGTTTTATTTTCCTTAAAACTAGCTAAATAATCTTGTTTACGCTTTAAAGTAATTTTTTTTACACCTCTGGCAGAATATTTTGCTTGTTTTAATGAAAAACTCACTTAATTTTTAATAACAACACAATACCTTGTCTAGAAAATGCATCTTGGTTTAAGAATTTGTACATAATTGTACTAGAAACGAGACATTCTGTAGTAAGAAACACTTTTTTTTTTGCAGTCTATTAGCCCAATCATATATCAACTCTGCCACATATTTACACACACCATTTCTAAAAACTTGTTTTAATATTCAATGCTAAGTTAGTGACTCAACTATGGTGATATCCATAAGTTAAAAAGTCCGCCCTATTGTCCATGTTATTCACCTGTTGCATCTTCTCTTAAAGGGATAGTTCACCCAAAAATAAAATTTACTTGTTCTCAAGTGGTTCCAAAGCTTTATGAGTTTCTTTACTCTGCTAAATATTTTGAAGTAAGCTGAAACTACCATGGTAGGAAAAATAAATCCAATACTATGAAACTGAATGGATTTCAGCTTTCTTCAAAGCTTCAAAATACAACAGTCACTATTTGAAGCGACTTTTATCAGTGACTTTCATCAAAGTTGCCCTAAAATTATTGAAGAACACCCTTTCTTGTCCTAGGACAATTTTGAAAAAAAAAAAAAAACACACATTTTGATTCACTTCATGAATGTGTACAGCAGAGGAAAGCCAAACATGTTTAGAACAACTGAAGAATGAGCAAATATTGGCAGAATTTTCCCTTTAAAAGTAACGGATAAGAAATGCAATTACCTGGATGCCCGTCTTGTGTTCTCTTCCTCTGGCCTTCTTAGCCGTGTCAGTGGTGTTGGTCCCGTCCGTCACTCCGTGGCGATGGAACGGACAGTTACACGCTCTCCCGGAGCTGTGGTGAGCTCATCCTCGGACACAGCCAGCTCTGTTCTCCAGCCAGCCAGAACGTCAAGGTCATGAGTCTCCAGAGGTCAACAACTTCTCTGTGATCCCATAACAACACAGTGCAAATCAAACACAACTCCTGCATTGAAGAGATCTAAAATCTCCAAGGTGAGATGAATGGCGAGCCTATAGATTCTGTTGAGTGGTCCTAATTGGCTCTCCAACCAATTTGCATTCTTCCTTCATTGGTAGATGATGCAAGGTCTCCAGAAGAGGGAGGAGGAAGGGTTTCGCGTCCACCAATCTCTCTCCTCAGACAAACACTGGTAGTGGAAAGTTCCTCCTGAAGCTTTTTCTCCCTAGAAGAAATGAGGAGGAGGAGGAGAAGAAAACAGAAACACGTGGAGCTTGAAACGTGGAGAGCGTGTTGTCATCTTGACTTTGTTTGTTAGAATGACTGTTCTTTTTGTTTGTGACAGTCTTAAATCATTGTTTGTCTTACTCTCTCTTTCCTTCAATCCCTGTTTTTAAGAAAGCAGGCTTGTCTAATGTGCAGTTCTTCTGGAAAGTGTCAGTCGTACTTTTCTTACTCTCTTTCCCTCGCTTCTTTCCCTTGCCCCCACTCTATTTCCGTGCTGTTCATAACATTTAATTCTTCCTATAAAAATCGGCATGGCACATTTCCTTTCCTCTCACTGACATTCACGCAAACACACTTTTTCCACGCCTTTCTCTCCCTCTGTGTATGTGTGTGTGTTATAGCTGGGAAAAGCACTCTCGAGTTTTGATTAGAAGCAGACAGGGTGCTGTGTAAAGGTTTGAGTCAGCGGGCCAAGTCAGATTGCAGTAATGCTTTGGCACTTATTACTGATTTTTTTTTGGTCCCTAATGCAACGGCTCAAGCATTCTAATCCAAACATTAGAACTCTAATAATAATAATGATGATGATGATAATGATGATGATGATGATGATAATAATAATAATAATAATAATAATAATAATAATAATAATAATAATAATAATAATAATAATATTTATTTATTAATAGTAAGTAATAGTGGATGCTAAATAAAACACACACACACACACACACACACACACACACATATATATATATATATATATATATATATATATATATATATATATATATATATATATACAAACTGTAAAAGCTATACCTATAATGCTGACAAATAATGCTAATTAAGTTTTACTATGAATATTAGTAAAATAATAACATTATTATTAATAACAACAAAAACAACAATAATAAAAATAATGATGATGATAACTATAACAATAATAATAATAGTTATTATTATTATTAGTATTATTTATTTGTCTATTTTAGATATCATCTGAGTAAAAATGGATGTTAAATAAAATAAATACATAAAATCTATATGTATAATACTAATAAGTAATTCTAATGAAGCTTTTATGTAATTGGCAATAATAATAATAATAATAATAATAATAATAGTATTTTAATTAATATTATAGAATTATAATAATAATAATAACAACAACAACAACAACAACAACATTTATTATTAATGATAACAGCTGGTGAATAACACTAGTACTACCACTACTACCCTTTCTACTAATAATACTTATTAATACTACTACTACTATTACTGCTACTGCTAATACTACTACTACAACTAATAATAATAATAATAATAATAATAATAATAATAATTTCAGAATTCTATTTAGTTGATATACAAAATGCAGTAGCTAGCTCGAGGGGCATATTCATGGGTCTCTTGAAATAGAGCCATGTCGAAATTTTCTGACAGCGGTTTGCTTGTTCTTGGGCAGCTTCAAAGGGAAATAAGGTATAGTGTATTTCAGTGTGTAAGTTGGCTATTCATTGCCTAATATAGACATGTTTCACGACAGCCACACACACTCTCTCTCTCTCTCCTTTACTCTTAGTTTGTTGTTAAAAGGGAAAAGACCTGGAAACCATGCAAACTAAAGAGGCGTTTACACTGACAGTCAAAGCCACTTGAAGCCATTCACTTTTAATGAGGGTTGGCAATTTCCTGCGACACTTTGTTATTGTTGATGATAATAATAATAATAATAATAATAATAATAATAATAATAATAATAATAATAATAATAATGATAATAATAATAATAATAATAATATACTATATAATAAGATGTAGTTTTATATATTTATATAGTTTCAGTGAGTTTTTAATTTGTTTGTAGAATACACAGAAACCAAAAAATGAAGGACATTAAAAATAAATAAAACAATATTTAACATAATCAATCAATCAATCAATCAATCAATCAATCAATCAATCAATCAATCAATCAATCAATCAAATAATCAATCAAATAGTTAAATAAATAAACAATAAACAACTAATAAAAAAAATTATAAAATAAACCAATAAATAAAATAAAACAATGCATAAAATGAAACAATGAATGAATTAAATAAATAAATACAGTAAATAAATGAAAAAATAAATAAGAATAAAACAATAAATAAAATAAACAAATAGACAAATAGGCAGACAGACAGACAGGCAAATAAATAAATAAATATTTTTACAGTTTTATAAATTACACAAAATTAATATGTGGACTGCATCATTTGTTTCTACTCACAAAGAACAATATAGTATAAAACCTATGTATTATATCACATAGAGTCTGCAGTCTGAATGCGTGATTCATACATTTATACACATTCATCATATTCATGATATGATGCATTTCACACAGCAGAAGTTTATATAAAAATAGCTCTTCCCTTCTGCATAATATTAGTTTTCCACAGCAACAAAATTGATTTCTTGTCAAAATAAAAAATACATCGTATTTTGACAAGAAATCCCATTTGGAATTCCATACTCAAAAGCTATAACCAGCACCTCAGCTCACAAAATATATTACAGCAATATTTCATATAGTTTTTTTTTTGTTTTTTTTTACTGTAGAATACAATTGAATAAAAGGAAATATCTTCCTTGTATATATCTGTCTTTCTCCCCCTTTCTCTTTTTATTGCTTGGTTCATCACAGCTGTTGTGTTCACAGCAAGTGAAAAAAGACTCAAGACAATAACATTGTTTCTATTTTACATAGCCTTCCAATTGTACAAGTAAAAGCACCCTTTCACTTATTGATTGATTTTAAACATACACGCACACATACACTCCCAGAGAAAAGTCTCGTGTATGGTGTGTGTTTGTGTTTGTGGGGGAGTTGTCTTGGAGGAGTTTTCATGGGAAAAATATACTGTCCTATTTCTAACTGCTCTTAACCTCTGCTATTCCTGCTTCTCTGACCAGAGGCCAAACACCACATGAACTCATGACAGCACGGAGTAGGCCTAGATCAGACTGCGGTCATAAAATAAATAAATACATTGTGTATATTGTACCACAGACAAATCTGCATCCGGAATTGTGATAAATCTAACAAAATTCCCTGAACCTAAACTTAAAAATAAATAAAAAGTAAAAATATGTAAAAAAAAAAATAATAATAATAATAAATAAATATTGATTTATAGTAGCTGCCTTGATATAACATAACAGATAAGATAACACATAGAAAACAGTCCAGATTTCAATTTCATGTTACCAAAAGGGGGGAAACGTTGTTTTGAGTGGGTAGGGAAAGTTATATTTGATTAAAGGGGACCTATTATGCAAAAATCACATTAATAAATGACTTAAACACAGTTGTGTGGCCATAGAGGGTGAGTATAGCCAGCCTCTAATTGTAAAAATGTATTAATTCTATTTTTTTTTATAATCACACTTGATAAAAACAGTCTGCAGATACACTTTGATTGATATTCTCCCTTTTTATGTCATCAAAGAGGGAAAGCCACACCCATTAGAAACAATCTCTCCCTCAGAATTTTAGCACCATGCTGAAGATAACCTCAGCAATTAAAAGGCAGTATAAATATTGAGTTTTAGGATTCACAAATGAACACCTTCTTCTGAGACACTTTTTTTTTTGACATTTTAACAGAGATAACATTCATCCTGAATCTGCTGCTATGCCGAAGCATAAAGGCATTTTAGCTCTCCTTTCTTTTAAATAGAGGGATTGGAGCACAGTCTCATTTGAATTTAAGGTGACATTCACCAAAACAGCACAATTCAGATCAAAACCTAAAAGGAGTTTATTCAGAGAGCTATAATATGTATCAGTATTTTGAGCTAAATCTTTACATGATAGGGACATACAATAATTATTTTACATCTTGTAAAAACAGGTATAATAAGTCAGCTTTAAAGATTATGAGAGCAAAATTAAAAATGTACAGAATTATAAAGAACACATGTGAAGTCAGAATTATTACCCCTCCTGAATTATTAAACCCTCTGTATATTTTTCCTCAATCATTTGATTAATGAAAAGAAGATTTGTTCAACACATTTCTAAACATAAAAGTTGTAATAACTAATTTCTAATGACTGATTTCTTTTATCTTGGCCATGAAATCTTAACTAGTTTCATTCATTAATTTTCCCGGGGCCAGATTGTGGGAGCAGCAGTTTTAGGAGTGAACCCTAGACTTCCCTCTCTCCAGACACTTCCTCCAGCTCCACTGGGAGACCCAGAGGCATTCCCAGACCAGCTGAGAGACATAGTCCCTCCAGTGTGTCCTGGGTCTTCCCCAAGGCCCCCTAGGTAGGCATTCAGGAGGCATTCGAAACAGATGCCCGAGCCACCTCAACTGACTTCTCTTGATGTGGAGGAGCAGCGGCTCTACTCAGAGTTCTTCCCAAAGAGAATCAAAGATGATACCAGGAAACTAGAGAGGAGGGTCTGGCCGAAGGTTGAACCTAGGATCCAAGAGGAACAATCCGGTTTTCGTCCAGGCCGTGGTACACTGGAAAAGCTCTTTAACCTTACCAGGGTGCTCGAGGGTTCTTGGGAGTACGCCCAACCATGACCCTTTGTCAAAAATTCTGTTCATCATTTTTATGGACAGAATTTCAAAGCGCAGCCTTGGCCTGGAGGGGGTCCAGTTTGTGGACCACAGCATTTCATGAGCCTAATCTCATGAGAAACGTATTTGTCAGTTTAGTGGCTGATTTGTATGAATTTGTATAAGTTCAGTTGTACAAATAATGTACGATTGTAAAAAGGAAGCATGGCACCCAACCCCCCCCCCCCCCCCTCCCTTATCATTGGGTGATGAGCAAATCATACTAAATTGAACGAATTAGATTGTACAAATTAATATGAACTAGCTACTAAGTCAAAAAGGTATGAATTGCCATGAGATTGCGTTGGATTTCATCTCTGTTTTTCGCAGATGAAGTTGTTCTGTTGGCTTCATTGAACATGGACCTTCA